GTCATTAAAGTTTCATCGTGAGCAATTTATTGGCTGAGTTCTTTGGAAAGTGAGGTGGGTGCGTATGGTGGCACGGCGCTCATTTCTGGAGCCATTGTTGGGTTAAACCGTTCTGGAAGAGCCCTGATGGCTCACCACGACACAACACTTTATAAAAAGATGGTTATGGGGTAAAAATCAACATCTGTGTTTTCTAACTAATGTTGGATGTTGACTAAAAGGTTGTGCGCGACTCAAACACTGATTTTAGGATTTTCCCACATATGCCTGATAACTAGTTGAAATGTGTAACGTCACGAAATGGCCTGATTTTGAGATCCCACTGGTCAAATTCACAGCCAGGTCAACTTACCCCTGGCTATGATAACCTACAATCTTTTCCCCTCACATAAGTCTGGGAGTCTGCACATAGTCCCTTTAATCAGAGCCTACTTCCTTACATCAGCTGGACTGCAGCTCTGAGAGATAATAAAACATAAACAATAACATTCTCCTCCAAGGTCCATCACAGAGGAACTCTTAAATAAACTCCTTTATTCCAAGAAGAAGAAGAAAGAAGATTTTATAATTAAAGATAATCTTTAAATTTGCTATTTATAATTATATACAATGAAATGTCCATTGATCTGTTTAATGATATATGCTTAGCATGCTTACTGGATGAGGGCATCACCATTTGCACACTCATACAAAAAATAAGTAAAGTTAAGTTAACACGTGACATGTAGTTAACCTTTTGCCCAGATTCAGAGTGTCCAGATCGAAGAGGGTGTGTTCTGAGATGCTTGGTAATATCTTAAAACTTGTCAACCTGTGGTTGGCTAGTCCATCATAACATTCCATCCAAATCCATTAAAATTAGCCAGCTCCGGTTTTTCCCTCAGTTCGACAGTTCAACAGTTCGAGGGTTCTCGATTAAAGCTTCAGACTGGCCATCTGAGCGAAAGCTTCTTTAACCAGAAGGATTTTGACACGTTGTCAAAACCTTAAACCTTTTTCGCACCTGCGAAGCTGAAACAACAAGATAGTTTCCTGCAGAACAAAGCTGACTCAAAACTCCTTCAGAGTTATTTTTAAGACGCTCGGTTTCTTCTATCGTTGTGACCCGGAGACATCTGAGGACTGACTTGGTCGCATCGAGGTTTCTCTACGAACCAGGTGCAGTGGGGTCGTCGGCTCCTGGACATCTCGGATCCAAACGGGGTCTCCAAACGGGTGAGGTAGAGCACAGCGAGATAGCGTCTGAATGTGCTTCTGATAATATCTTTATTGTTTATTTGCGAACCAAATTCTTTCCATCCAGAACTCAGCTCTGAGAAATGGAGATTCTGAATACAATATTCACACATAGGATCCAGACACCATCTTAGTTCGCATCCACTCACAGTAAATAATAGTTTAAACAATTTGTCAAGTTTTAATGGTTTGTAAAATAAATTCTTATCTGGTTTATAAACCTGACTGTTTCTTGAATCAAAGCAAAGTCTGTAGGATCGCTTAATGAATAAAAGAATCTTAGAATCTTCTGACTAAAACAAATAAAGACCAAGCAGGTGATATTCTAGTTAAATGGAGTATCACCACTTATTGATCACAAGTAGTGTTAATAATATAAATAGCTTTTCAAGCAATTTACTTAACCAAACATACCGGTACTATTTATCTCACATTACAAATGTGAAAAGTGGGTCATGCTAGATGTGTTCAGCAACATGAAAAGAAGTGATGCACATGCTGCTGGGATTAGAGAAACATCATAAGATGTGATAAATGTTCCTACATGCTCAGACTCTATCCTTTAGCCTCCCCCTGGGAGTCCATTTGTGTGTTTCAGCCGTACGAACACCAGTAGTTAGACCTGTTAGAGGACCAGCAGAAAGTGGCTGAGTGTGTCAAATGATGAAATATAAAGATTTGTGGGTTTTTTTTAATCATTTTTATTGAGATTCTATTTGTATTTTTTAATTATTTCAGTTCAACAAAATCAAAAATTCACAATCAAATAGCTGCGCTGAAGGATGCTACATTCTAAGGTTTTAATGCTACTGCCATGTTTGCTGTCACCTTGACGTGTGTGTGTGGGTTTGTGAACAACACACACACACACACACACACACACACACACACACACACACACACACACACACACACACACACACACACACACACACACACACACACACACACACACACACACACACACAGATTCCTGCCCTTCCCTTCAGCCCCAGTTAGCTGATTGATCTAACAATAGAAATCAAATGAGTGATTGCAGCTGAAGCGCCGGTTGAACCTGTTTTCAGCTCATTTCAAGCAGTTTCTTTGTTACAACCTCTCTTTGAGATAAAACACATTTATTAATGTCCGTTACTGGTAATTAATGATACTCGTTAGATAAAGAGACCCATTAGAGGTTATGGCTTTGAATCGGTCTCAAAGGCTCATTATGATGCCTTCAAAGCCCCCTCTGCTTATGTGCGATGTATTATCAACATGCATCAATAATTAAACATGCACTCATCTGTATGAGGGGATTAAAGTCAGACATTTTTAAAGACAACACCTAAATGCAACCCTGTTGAAGCCACTTTAACAAAAATAAAAATCAGAAACATGGCAACATCTGTGATTTTGTGCTAAATTCCAAAACAAACAGCATTAAATATAACTCTTAAAATGAAGTTGCATTACAAATCTTCCAGCTAATCTATTGAAACTTTTAAGAAATTTAAAATCAAAGTGCTGCTAATATTTTCCTTGAGAATACTTTTTACTTTGTGATGAAGTCATGAGTATGAATGGAATTCTGCATTCAGATCTTTGAGGTATGAGAACATGTTTATGTTTATTTATTTAGCAGACGCTTTTATCCAAAGCGACTTACAATTTATAACCTATAGGGCATGTTGTGACCTGTGGGGGAAACCGGAGTACCCGGAGGAAACCCACGCATGCATGGGGAGAACACGCAACTCCACATAGAGAGGCCGCAGCCGAGTTTCAAACCTGCAACCTTCGTGCTGCGAGGCAACAGTGCTAACCACTGTGCCACCATGCAGCCCATCCAATACCTTCACAGTATTCTGAAAGGTTGTGCAATTTACAAAATGTCTCACAGTTGTAAAATAAAGGTTTACAGAGACTGATATTAAACAGCCGAAGCAACAAGTGATTTTTATTTTTGTTAGAGATGGTTAAACTGAGTGTCATCGTTCTCGGGTCTAGGTGAGTCCTCCTCATCAATTAACAATCTTTGGGGTTCTGTGTTCCACAGGTGAGGAGCAGAGAGGTACCAGCTGTTCTGAGTTACTCATTTGGAGCTCGGGTTTAAAAAGAGGATGGAGACACTACTCGAAGCCGGATGATTACTCCAGTATTGGTAACGCCTGCCACTCGTACTTGTTTGACCTCGCATGTTTGGATTACTTGGATTTTGACCTTGGACTGTTTATTGGATTACGGTTTTGAACTTGCTCCTGAAGCTCCGTCTGTTTGCCCTCCTAGGATTACCACCCCAACCTTCACCAAATTCTGCTAAGAACCACGGATCCTCATTCACGTCTCATCCTCCTCCACCGCTCCTGCTTTTCTCCTCTCTGCTTCCTCACCTCCCGTCCGGCTGGATCGCTACACTCGTCTCCTTGGCACCCCGCTTGCCCCGCAGCTCGCTGAGCTAAGAACTCTGAACAATCACCCTCGGCATAATTCACTGGATTTCAGTGCTACTTTAGCTCCCGTTTGTGTAAATAAAGACTTTAATTTCTTACCTCCTGACTCCTGAGCTGATTCTGCATGTCTTGGGTTAAACGCCTTCCACAAGCCATGACACTGAGTTTAACTTTAGAGTAAATTAACCAAAGCAATGTGCTTCCACTGACAAAGGGCCAACAATAAATAAAAACATACATACATACAAGCATAGCCCTACAAAAATCTCATAAAATGATGTGATTAATTTACACGTTCATATATGAATATAAAATGAACCTGGGTATTTTGTTTTCCTGCTTTTCAGTTTGCATGTATTTGATCTGGTTTGTTTTTGTTTAAATGTTACGCTGTCTCTAACAATATTAATTATTATTCAAACACAACTCAATGAATTTTCTTTGACAAAGACAGAACAGTATTTCATATCTGTCACACTTTTTAAAATTAGAAGCAGAAATGTTGATGTCGGCTTTTGTTTTGTCGATTTGAGCGGATTTTCGACACAATACTTATTTATGTATTTTCAACAAAGAACACATTGAATTGTTTTACCTGATACATGGTTTGATAGAAGCAATGGCTTGTTTCTCATGGTAGTGCAGTTGTCTTGCAGCAAGAAGGTTCTGGGTTCTGGGTCTATGGAGCAACTGCTCCCCTGCTGCAGAAGTCTCCCAGCTGGCCCCCACTTACATCAACAACACCTTAAACTCTCCGTAACGTGACGGATGAACTCAGTCCTGTACGTAATGCCAGTTCTTGTTGGAGTTTGTCTTTTATTTATTTGGCACTTTTACTTTACTCATTTATAACTTAATCATGCTTTCTTATAAGCAATAATAGCAAAGGTGTCCCTGTGGTAATTTCTCCATTTACTTACTGGGGATTTCCCAGTTATACTTCAATGAGAAGGTCCAGCACCCCCACCCCTCACCCCATGCAAACGGTTCTAGCTCCGCCACTGCGTATCAGACGCACACACACACACACACACACACGCACGCACGCACGCACGCACGCACACACACACACACACACACACTTGGACAAAAAGTTATTAACATATTATTACATCATGATTTATTGTAATAAATATTTGCTTTATGATTACTTTGCGTTTTATTAAATAAATAAATACATCTTTCAGATCCGTTTAAACATTAAAGTCTGAGCAATCGTTTGAGCTGCTTAGAGTATTTAACCGTAAAGTCTCAGAGCAGACAGTGTTCCCATTCCCTGGATATGATTGTCATGCAGGCTGTGCGCCCGCGCGAACAGGGATCCTTGGATCTGGGAGCTGCGGAGAGGCACTCGGTGACCAGGAGAGGGCATCTCATGGCCTGAAACTGACGAACATCGAGCTCCGTCCTCTCATTCCACACCAGCATCATCCTCATCATCAACATCATCATCATCCCTGTTGCTGAAGAACTGATTTATTCTTGGTATCTGATCCACAGCCGCCTCCACCTTTCCCCGAAGGATACGCATCAACTTGTGGTTCTGTTGGTACCGGACCCACTTTGCTCGCTCGGTTCTTGGTGCTTTCCCATGACTCGGAGAATCAACAATTGGTGACTCAGTCAGTGCTCGGGATGTGTTTTACAGCCTCCAAAATGCTGAAGAGAGTGATCCTTGTGGCTCCACTAGCTTTTAGTCTTCTCATCCCGTAAGGCTGCAGTTAAAACGATGCACGACCAAGCTGATGTTACGCGCTAAAGTAAAGAACTCCAGACTGACGTAGAAGCACACCTTGGAGCCCACTTCGTCTCCGACAGGTGTGAGGCTGTGCGCGGAGCGGATCAGACCGGTGCGGCGCAGTGAGCGCCGATTTTCCGGGATGAAGGTGCAGCTGGTCGGGCAAAGCGCCGAGTGCGTGTGAACATGTGGACCGGGAGCGCATGTAACAGAGATCCCTGAGCGTCATGAGGAAAAGCAGACACCGCGCAAGTATGGGTATGTGCTGTTGATTTGTGGAAGTAGAATTTAATTGAAGCTGATGACTCCGCTTCCTGCGGTTTCCGAATGATGAGTGCACGCTGGGAAATGTGAAGGATGCTTTTCTCCCAACAGCTGCCAAATTAAACCTGCTGCATGTGGTCATCAATCACTTACTGATGTCTCAGGTGCTTATTAGTCAGGAATGCTGGGATAACACTTAAAATGGGTGTCCATGTGTACATTTCTGCCCTCTAAATCCTGTTTTCATGTATATGTTTGGATATTTTTCATGCTCTTACATCCATCACTTTTTTGTGTCTGCAGGACCTTCTGTGCTGTTCAGATGGCTTGTTTTCACAGTGGTGGTGCCCGCCTGGCTTCTTGCTGCTCCAAGTGGCTTCCGGGAGCGTCGCTGCCCCCAGAGCTGTAGATGTGACGGGAAAATAATATACTGTGAATCCAGCGCCTTCCGTGATGTGCCAAACAACGTGTCTGTGAGCACACAGGGCCTGTCGCTGCGTTACAACAGCCTGGTGAGCCTCAGAGCCCGTCAGTTTGCCGGTCTGAGTCAGCTGGTTTGGCTCTACCTTGACCACAATTACATCAACGCCGTGGATGGCCAGGCTTTCCATGGCATACGGAGGCTCAAAGAACTGATTCTCAGCTCCAACAGGGTCACACTGCTTAAGAACAACACGTTCTATGATGTCCCAAATTTGCGTAATCTTGACCTGTCGTACAACAAACTGCAGGTCCTCCAGCCTAACCAGTTCATAGGTCTACGAAAGCTGCTCAGTTTACACTTGAGGTCAAACTCTTTAAAAACTGTCCCCATGCGCGTTTTCCTTGACTGTCGTAACCTGGAGTTCCTTGACATTGGCTACAACCGGCTACGGAGCCTAACACGCAACGCCTTTGCAGGACTCCTGAAGCTCGTTGAGCTTCATTTGGAACACAATCAGTTTTCAAAGATAAACTTTGCTCATTTCCCCCGCCTGACTAACCTGAGGGCGCTTTATCTGCAATGGAACCGGATCAAAGTGCTCACCCAGGGTCTGCCGTGGATGTGGACTTCTTTGCAAAAGTTGGACCTCACAGGAAACGAGCTGGAAGTGCTGGATCCCAGCACATTTCAGTGCCTGCCCAATCTCCAGACTCTGAACCTGGACTCCAACAAACTCAGCAATGTCTCCCAGCAGACGGTGGAGACTTGGTTCTCCCTCACCACCATCAGTCTGGCTGGTAATTTGTGGCACTGCAACCCCAACATATGTCCACTGGTGTCCTGGCTCAAAGCCTTCAAGGGTAACAAGGAGACAACTTTGATTTGTGCAAGTCCTAAGGAGGCACAAGGAGAAAAAGTCACAGATGTGGTGGAGACTTATAACATCTGTACAGCAACGCCGACTCCTATCCCCTCAACGACATTACCCCTCACTTCAGCATTCCAGCCTAAACTGCTGCCTCTGCCCACGCAGCACGTGGTGGATAACAAGCTGACCTGGAACAGGACAGCTTCTCCCACTCCTTCTGAGGCCTCGTCCACCGTACCCGTTTCGGACACAGAGTATGTGTCCTTCCACAAGATCATTGCCGGCAGCGTGGCCCTCTTCTTGTCTGTGGCCATCATTCTGCTGGTTATTTATGTCTCATGGAAACGCTATCCCAGCAGTCTCAAACAGCTCCAGCAGCGCTCAGCGGTCAAAAAGCGTCAGAAAAAGGCACGGGAGACTGAGCGCTCATTTAACTCGCCACTGCAAGAGTACTATGTGGACTACAAGCCTTCACACTCAGAGACTATGGATATGCTGGTTAATGGGACAGGACCTTACACATACACCATCTCAGGCTCCAGGGAATGTGAGGTATGACCGTTGCCCTCCAAAAATCCATTTCCACTGCGAGGCGTGCGAGGTAAATTTTCTAACTCTCTGTGGGGAAAAAGACCTGTTTTTTTCCTCTGCTCTTGTCTGCTTTGGGATATGGACGCAAAGGTCAGTGCATGGTGACATGTTTTTGCAATATGCTGGTTATTTCAGTTCCAAATGACTGCCCAGCTGTTGCGCTGAATCATGTAATGTTATTGCTAAAATATGATTCCCATTATCCTAAATCTGTAGCAGCAGCTCCCCTTTCTGGGGACACTGTGTACACGGCAATGCATTTTACACAAAGCAGTCTCATTTTTCATTACTTACATGAAAAGGTCCCTTGATTAATCTGTGTATTGTCAGCCAGCGAACGACCTGCTGTTCTCAAACGAGTGTAAACGGTTAGATCAAGTCACCATGCAGCTGGCCTGCTCCTTTCCTGTGTGTTTGCTACAACAGCTCCGGTAACAAATGCACACATTTTGTGAGTCACAGTATTTTTTTTCCCCATTGTATAAAATATTGCTGATGATCATATAACTCATATTCTGTCTCTGCCTCCAGCACTTGTGAACTTTGTAAATTAAACCAATGAGAAAAAAGCAAAGTTTAAACGGTCTTCACAAGTTGCAGATGACCCTACAGGCCTGTAGCCAAACAGAGCATAAATGATGTATTTGGGCTCTGATTTTGTCAGGTTTACTATTGCAGTGAAAAAACTAAATTACATCTAATCTGAAAAATAAAATAGAAAATGTTCAGACATGTGATGAACTTCAAATGGGAATTCTCACTCCAAATCTGGACTTTCATCATAGGAAGCCCTGAAACAAAGTCTAATGGATGTGCTCGTGCTTAATGAAGCGTTTTTCATTTCTGTCTCGGTCCCCACAAATGCTTTGCATCTGTCTCCTGTTTTTTGTCATTTGGCTCAGTGGTTAAGTGTGATTAACAGGACATGTTGTACTGGGAAAGATGAAATGTCATTGGACTCTTTTGTAGAACTAACCAGACATGCTGTTGAGTATAGGAGACATCTTTCTTTTTCGTTGTATCTGTCAGTGCAGCTCGGAGTCGAACTTTTATCTCTCGCTGCCACACAGCTCATTTCCCATATTCTACATGGAGCCTATAAATCATTTCAGAAACCGATTTAAGTCACAGGAGTGTACCGCTGGACCATTTTTAGTTCTCATTGTGTCCTTTTCTAAAGTCACCAGAGACGCATGGCACAAATGTGTTTGATTGCTTTCAGTAATGTCAAATACTACAAGGTACACAAGCAGGTAAATCAGTTCTATGTCAGATTGTGGCAGAGCATTCCTCGAGCTGGAGGTGAGATGCTCGGCTTATCAATCTAGCTGCTTTCATGTGAGAATGTGGCGTGGGAGCATTAAATGGCAGACCTAATGGGGCTTCTGCTAGCTGGAATAACTAATAGCCCATCAGAGGTAAGGAGGCAAGTCGTCCCTCAGCTTTGTTATCCTGTGCCCTCTACAGCTCGATGTGGTAAACGTTAAAGGCTTTTAAAGCTCTTTTTCTCTTTTTGTGTACATTGTTGTTGCATTTCCTTCCAACGATACAGTATAAAACTAAAGTGTTTTAAACCACCCTAAAGTCCTCGTGCATATGCTGTAGGACATCATTAAAGATGTCTCTGGTATTTAAAGGCTTTGTCATCTAGAAGCCCGAATGTCCAGACAAGAACAATCAAATAAAATCTTTAAATCTTTCTCTGTAGCAACTTTTTTTTATGAAATAGAAATATTCCACTGAAGCTTGTAGGATTTCTAAATAAAAATAATAAAAACATATTTTTGTACACCAGTATGTTTTGCACTTGTTCTACATTTTTAACTTTCAACGACTTCAAAAACAAAACAACAACTTGAGATATTAGTGAGTTTCCCTTCAGAAGGGATGGAAATAAAAGCATGCCTTCCAACTGGAAAGTGAGAACTAACAAAAACTTTTAAACTTTTTTAATCAACTGGATTGTTTTGTGATCATTTGCAGCTGAAAATAAAATTGAAAAGTGTGATTCTCAAGACGTAATGCAAACAACGCACTAAAATCCTGATCAAACTGTTTTATTTGTCTGATCGTCCTAATGTATTTGGAGTGGCTGCTGCAGGACTTTTATGACACGTGAGAACACTCCACTTGTTACAGTGACCCGCAAACAGAGCTGGATGTTCAGCCACATGAAAGCGGGAGTGGTGCTGTGTTCAAAACAGCTGCTTCAGGGCCGAAACCCACACTCGGAGTCATTTAGCGAATGCTGGAATCCAGTGCACATATTTTTAGCTTTTCCCAGATAGCAAGCACTTAAGCTATTAGCTGCATTTCAAATTAGGAGAAAGAGCTTTGTAATTGAAGCCTGTTATCTTGTGCACATGCCCAGACCAACAGACGTGGAGTTAATTTGTTTCTATAGATTTCCTCTAGCACAGCTCAGCAGGTTGGTTTCGACGCTGCAAACTGAAGTCGCCGGGTGAGAATTTCGATGAACACTTTGAACCGTGGTGTTCCTGTAGCCCATTATATGAAAGAAAAAATGATCTCACCATTGTGTGCCATCCACTTCTGTGCTCGCAGAGCAGCCGCGCTGGTTTCTGTTCATCCACAAACGATTCCCTGCAATGTTAGTTCAGACAATATGAAGGTGAAAATCCCCCCATCGCCGCCAAAGGCAATCCTTTGCACTTGGGGAGAATGTGCAAGCATTAATAAGGTGAGCAGTTCCTGCTCACAGATAATTAAAGCAGGCTGTGTGAAGCCAAGTGACGTGAGTAGAAAAGTATGCTACTGCTGCTGCACCTAAGTGGCACAAATGCTGTCTAAGATAATTAGTTTTCAGCTCAGCTAAGTTTTAAGCTGAAACTCAGTGAAAATTTTGCTTTTATTGGTTCATTTGCGGTGATTTCTGATGAGTTTTGGCCAGGATGAGGTGCGTTCATGAAGTTTACGTTTTCCCATAAGCTGACAATCCCTCTCCTGTTACAATCAAACCTATTACATGTTCTGGAACTCACTCCATCCATCCATCCATCCATCCATCCATCCATCATCTATTTATTTATTTATTTATTTATTTATTTATTTATTTATTTATTTATTTATTCATTTATTTATTCATTTATTTATTTATTCATTTATTTTATCTGCGTATCCGGAGTCAGGTCGCGGGGGCAGTAGCCTAAGGCGAGAGGGCCAGACTTCCCTCTCCCCAGCCACTTGGGCCAGCTCCTCCGGGGGAATCCCAAGGCCTTCCCTGGCCAGGTGAGAGACATAGTCCCTCCACCGTGTCCTGGGTCTACCTTTAGGTCTCCTCCCGGTTGGATGTGCCCGGAAAACCTCACCAGGGAGGCGTCCAGGAGGCATCCTGACCAGATGCCCGGGCCACCTCAGCTGGCTCCTCTTGATGTGGAGGAGCAGCGGGTCTACTCCAAGCCCCTCCTGAATGACCGAGCTTTCTCGCCCTATCTCTAAGGGAGAGCTTAGCCACTCTTCGGAGAAAACTAATTTCGGCCGCTTGTATCTGCAATCTCGTTCTTTTGGTCACTACCCAAAGCTCATGACCATAGGTGAGGGTAGGAACATAGATCAACTGGTAAATTGAGAGCTTCGCCTTCTGACTCAGCTCTCTCTTCACCACGACAGACCGGTACAACGCCCGCATCACTGCAGATGCAGCACCAATCCGCCTAACGATCTCACGCTCCAGTTTTCCCTCACTCGTGAACAAGATCTCAAGATACTTAAACTCCTCCACTTCAGGCAGGACCTCATCCCTGACCCGGAGAAGGCATTCTACCCTTTTCCGAATCAAGACCATGGTCTCGGATTTAGAGGAGCTGATTCTCATCCCAGCTGCTTCACACTCGACTGCGAGCCGCTCCAGCGAAAGCTGAATATCACATTCTGATGAAGCTAACAGGACCACATCATCTGCAAAAAGCAGAGACCTGATCCTCAGGCCACCAAAACGGATGTCCTCCACACCTTGGCTGCGCCTTAATGATTATGAACAGAATCTGTGACAAAGGGCAGCCTTGACAGAGTCCAACGCTCACTGGGAACGAGCCCGATTTACTGCCGGCAATGCAGACCAAGCTCTGACATCGGTCATACAGGGACCTAACAGCCCGAATCAGAGGGCCTGATACCCTGTACTCCCGGAGTACGGTCAAACGCCTTCTCAAAAATCCACTAAACACATGTAGACTGGTTGAGAAAATTCCCACGCACCCTCCAGGATCCCCCTAAGGGTAGTTGTGGTTCCTCCCAACCACACCTCTCCAGGTCTCACTGTCGTTGCCCATGTGAGCGTTTAAGTCCCCCAGCAGAACGAGGGAGGCACCGGAAGGAGCGCTTTCCACCACCCCCTCCAAGGTATCCAAAAAGGGTGGGTAGTCTGAACTGTAGTTTGGTGCATAAGCACAGACCACAGTCAGAACCCGTCCCCCCAGACGTAGGCGGAGGGAGGCTACCCTCTCATTCACTGGGGTAAACCCCAACGTACAGGCACCAAGATGGGGGGCAACTAGTATGCCCACCCCTGCTCGGCGCCTCTCAGTGGGAGCAACTCCAGAGTGGTAGAAAGTCCAACCCCTCTCAAGGAAACTGGTTTCAGAGCCAGAGCCATGGGTTGAGGTGAGTCCGACCATATCTAGTCAGAACCTCTCAACCTCATACACTAACTCAGGCTCCTTCCCCACCAGAGAGGTGACATTCCATGTGCCAAGAGCCAGCTTCTGTAGCCGAGGGTCAGACTGCCAAGGTCCCCGCCCTTGACCCGTCACACACTGCACCCGGCCCCTTTGGCCCCTCCCACGAGTGGTGAGCCCATGGGAAGGGGGACTCACCTTTCCTCTTCGGGCTGTGCCCGGCTGGGCTCCATTGGTGAAAGCCCGGCCACCAGGCGCTCGCTAACGTGCCCCACCTCCAGTCCTGGCTCCAGAGGGGGGCCCCGGTGACCCACGTCCGGGCGAGGGAACACGGTTTCCATTTATATAATTCATCATATGAGGTCTTTGGGTT